TTCCCCACTGTTTTTGGCTGTTTTACTGCTGTGAACATCAGTTTTTGTGATTTGGTACTTAATTTTGGCTAGGTTTGCTTGTGAATACAAGTACTTCCTATCACAATGGCGCCGACACAACCAACTCCTGAAACTCCCCAACGCATCTGGATAAAGCGTCGGCTGCCTTATTCTCCAAACTAGGCTTATATTGGATCTCAAAATCATAGCCTAATAGTTTGGATAACCACCTCTGATGATCTTTGGTCACCATCTTTTGCTCTAACAAATACTTCAAGCTCCTCTGATCAGTCCGTACTATAAAGTGTCTTCCCAAGAGATATGGCCGCCACTTTTGTATTGCAAAGACAATGGCCATCAGCTCTCTTTCATACACTGACTTCAATCTAGCTCTGTCTAAAAGCACTTGACTGCAGTATGCTACTGGCCTGTGATTCTGCATCAACACTGCCCCTAGCCCATATCCTGATGCATCCGTCTCTACTACAAAGACCTGACCAAAGTCTGGAAGAGCTAGAACATGAACAGTCGTCATGGCTTCCTTTAACCTCTCAAACGCCTGGGTGGCTGCCTCTCCCCAGCAAATATTGTCCTTCTTCAGCTGCTCAGTCAAAGGCCAGGCAATGGTAATGTATCCCTTCACAAACTTCCTGTAGTATCCAGTCAATCCCTCAATTTCCTGAGGTTCCTAGGTATCCCCTACTCATCTCTTCTCTAGAAAGCGATTCTAGAGGGGGCATGTCGTTCTCCTCCTCCAGAATCTCCACCTCCGGATTTCTCCTCCCCCTAAAAGGGTTTGGATTTCCTTCCCCGACGTGGCCTCCGATAGTCTCTCTTACTTCCGTCGTTGTCGGATTTGTCTTCATCTCCAGTAAATTTTTTATCATTTCTTCCATTACAGTGAACTTCCCTTCCAACTTTTCATTGTTGGTGGTGATTTGATTTTGAAAATCAGAAAATCTTTCCTCCAAATCGGATTTCAGTTGTCCGACTTCGCCCTCCAATACTTCTACCTTCTTTCCGGCCATCGTTCTTCCCAAGATTCACGATGATCTTCTTCCGGAAGCAAGAAACCCGCTGAAAACACAGGAATTCAGCCATCAATGGTCCCAAAAAAGATGCTCTGATACCAATTTGATAGGAAACACTTGTATTCACAAGTGTTCCTAGCCAAAATCAGTAAACTGCAGCAATGTTATTGCTGTCCACAGCAGGAAACAACCCAAAAAACAGAGAAAACAGGAGATTTACACTAGAAATCTGAG